CCCATCGTGAGAGTCTCGACAGAAACTCACATCCACGAGTCAACAAGAGGGTGAGAAGCACTGAGAAACGGGCCTCCTCCTGAGACACATTGGTCGCTGCTTGTGTGTTGGGAAACTGTGGAAAGTTTACACCAAGAAGGAAGTTTACTTCTCTACTGTAATCAATATGCCAGAAGCAGCCCTCTGAAGGCTCTCTTGCGAGCAGTAAAAGGGGAAAGAACGAGTCTTCATTATCACGGAGACAAAAGTCTCCACCCAGACTTATTTGGGAGTGTCAAGGCTTCTGGAGGTGACGGCCAGGCTGGTGTACAGTGATTAGAGATGATGTAGTGTACAGAGACCATTGGGGGAGATGTTTATATCTATCAGCTGTAAGGAATAGTTTCTGTGTCTCCAGCTTCTACCCGTGTCCTCTGGTCCTGCCTCATCTGTGTCACCAGCTTCTACCCGTGTCCTCTGGTCCTGCCTCATCTGTGTCTCCAGCTTCCACCCGTGTCCTCTGGTCCTGCCTCATCTGTGTCTCCAGCTTCCACCCGTGTCCTCTGGTCCTGCCTCATCTGTGTCACCAGCTTCCACCTGTGTCCTCTGGTCCTGCCTCATCTGTGTCTCCAGCTTCCACCCGTGTCCTCTGGTCCTGCCTCATCAGTGTCTCCAGCTTCCACCCGTGTCCTCTGGTCCTGCCTCATCTGTGTCTCCAGCTTCCACCCGTGTCCTCTGGTCCTGCCTCATCTGTGTCTCCAGCATCCACCCGTGTCCTCTGGTCCTGCCTCATCTGTGTCACCAGCTTCCACCCGTGTCCTCTGGTCCTGCCTCATCTGTGTCACCAGCTTCCACCCGTGTCCTCTGGTCCTGCCTCATCTGTGTCTCCAGCTTCCACCCGTGTCCTCTGGTCCTGCCTCATCTGTGTCTCCAGCTTCCACCCGTGTCCTCTGGTCCTGCCTCATCTGTGTCTCCAGCTTCCACCTGTGTCCTCTGGTCCTGCCTCATCTGTGTCTCCAGCTTCCACCTGTGTCCTCTGGTCCTGCCTCATCTGTGTCTCCAGCTTCCACCTGTGTCCTCTGGTCCTACCTCATCTGTGTCTCCAGCATCCACCCGTGTCCTCTGGTCCTGCCTCATCTGTGTCTCCAGCTTCCACCTGTGTCCTCTGGTCCTGCCTCATCTGTGTCACCAGCTTCCACCCGTGTCCTCTGGTCCTGCCTCATCTGTGTCTCCAGCTTCCACCTGTGTCCTCTGGTCCTGCCTCATCTGTGTCACCAGCTTCCACCCGTGTCCTCTGGTCCTGCCTCATCTGTGTCTCCAGCATCCACCCGTGTCCTCTGGTCCTGCCTCATCTGTGTCTCCAGCTTCCACCCGTGTCCTCTGGTCCTGCCTCATCTGTGTCTCCAGCTTCCACCCGTGTCCTCTGGTCCTGCCTCATCTGTGTCACCAGCTTCCACCCGTGTCCTCTGGTCCTGCCTCATCTGTGTCTCCAGCTTCCACCCGTGTCCTCTGGTCCTGCCTCATCTGTGTCTCCAGCTTCCACCCGTGTCCTCTGGTCCTGCCTCATCTGTGTCTCCAGCTTCCACGTGTGTCCTCTGGTCCTGCCTCATCTGTGTCTTCAGCTTCCACCCGTGTCCTCTGGTCCTGCCTCATCTGTGTCTCCAGCTTCCACCCGTGTCCTCTGGTCCTGCCTCATCTGTGTTTCCAGCATCCACCCGTGTCCTCTGGTCCTGCCTCATCTGTGTCTCCAGCTTCCACCCGTGTCCTCTGGTCCTGCCTCATCTGTGTCTCCAGCTTCCGCCTGTGGTGTTCTGAGCTGCTCAGAGCTCAATGAACGTGAGCTCCACGACAAATCCAGTTGCTTATCTCCACAATTTTCCAATGTTACTCTGAAATTTACTAGATGTAGCCTCCATGCTGGCGTTGCATTCTCAAGAGTTGGTGATGCGTAGGTTGTATATAGTGTCTTAAAGACCCCCGCATGTATTAAGCAGTCACCAGATCTGAAGGTATACATATATACACCCCAGATGTATATTTCACACTGTATGACCTGTACCAATATGACAGAGGTGCCAGCGCAGGAAGCAGGAGTATATACATGTAGTGTACAAGAGTCCAGTGAAGGACAGGCTACACTATAGTGGTGCGGGGAGCAAGGGAGAGCCTCTGAGGTGTCTGGGAGGAGGAGAGAGCTCTTGAGGGAGCCACAGAGGTGCTCAGAGGGTTGGTTATGGCGGAGGTAAAGGTAATAAGGTTCTGTGAGTGCGATGGAGAGGCAGGCGGAAAGGCTGAAACAGCAAACCCGCAACGGACCACCTAAAAGGTTACCATCGACGTCCCAGGAGGTCCATTGACGTCCCAGGAGGTCCATCGACGTCCCAGGAGGTCCATCGACATCCCAGGAGGTCCATCGACGTCCCAGGAGGTCCATCGACGTCTCAGGAGGTCCATCGACGTCCCAGGAGGTCCATCGACGTCCCAGGAGGTCCATCGACGTCCCAGGAGGTCCATCGACGTCCCAGGAGGTCCATTGACGTCCCAGGAGGTCCATCGACGTCCCAGGAGGTCCATTGACGTCCCAGGAGGTCCATCGACGTCCTAGGAGGTCCATCGACGTCCCAGGAGGTCCATCGACGTCCCAGGAGGTCCATCGACGTCCCAGGAGGTCCATCGACGTCGAACCCATCCAGTTTGGCACACTGAGGTCACTACAGGAGACTGTACCCAGTTGGCCAGGGAGCCGGTCGGCCGAGCGGACAGCACGCTGGTCTTATGATCCTGTGGTCCTGGGTTCGATCCCAGGCGCCGGCGAGAAACAATGGGGGCAGAGTTTCTTTCACCCTATGCCCCTGTTACCTAGCAGTAAAATAGGTACCTGGGTGTTAGTCAGCTGTCACGGGCTGCTTCCTGGGGGGTGGAGGCCTGGTCGAGGACCGGGCCGCGGGGACACTAAAGCCCCGAAATCATCTCAAGATAACCACCCTATGCCCCTGTTACCTAGCAGTAAAATAGGTACCTGGGTGTTAGTCAGCTGTCACGGGCTGCTTCCTGGGGGTGGAGGCCTGGTCGAGGACCGGGCCGCGAGGACACTAAAGCCCCGAAATCATCACAAGATAACATCTTGAAGACGCCAGCCGGGTCCTGAGCCGTCTTGACAATGACTTAAGTATTGAGTTTCTTGTCACCACATTCGTCTTAACTCGGTTAATGACTAATTATCCCCCATTACTGTGTGATGTGTCTAGCTACATTGCTAGACCTCAAGGTTTAGCTCTTGGCCCCCGCCTCGTCCCTTTGGCATGTCTTGAATCCCTACAAGAAATTAATCTCAAAGCTCCTGTTTGCTCCATTTTGACAATCTTATATACACCCAAATGTTTTATCCTTGTCAATCCTATACACCATGGAGTATTATGTCCTCGTTCATCCTATCTCACATCCTAGAGTATTTTATATATCGTTATCATGTCTCATCCTGCATTTTCTTCGTGAGATCCAGTTCGTATAACCGTCGTCTCTCCCAGCTGGACTCTAGCAAGTAATATTATGTGCTTGAACAAATCCACAAGGGCTGTGACGAGGATTCGAACCTGCGTCCGGGAGCATCCCAGACACTGCCTTAATCGACTGAGCTACGACAGGTTCGCAGGTTCGAATCCTCGTCACGGCCCTTGTGGATTTGTTCATTTGATGCATCACGTTAGTGTGATCTCTGTGTGTGGTTATGTGCTTTAAGCCGGGGTTCCATACTGGTGCAGCATCTTGAGGTTATCTTGAGATGATTTCGGGGCTTTAGTGTCCCGCGGCCCGGTCCTCGACCAGGCCTCCACCCCCAGGAAGCAGCCCGTGACAGCTGACTAACACCCAGGTACCTATTTTACTGCTAGGTAACAGGGGGCATAGGGTGAAAGAAACTCTGCCCATTGTTCCTCGCCGGCGCCTGGGATCGAACTAATTACCACAGGATCAAAAGTCCCGCGTGCTGTCCGCTCGGCCGACCGGCTCCCTTACTTACTCCCTTAGCATACTCAAGTAATGGACTTAACATTGGTGTATAGCGTTTAGATGTCGGCTATGAGATGTTATGCAGTTTACATGAACGGTAGAGTGACAGTTTGGCTTCTTGCAGGTCGGCGTTCAATCCCCGACCGTCAAAGTGGTTGGGCACCATTCCTCCATCCTATTCTAAATTCTTCATATCCCTTTTAAGTGCTATATAGTCATATTGGCTTAGTGCTTTCCCCTGATAATGACTTTTGGAGATCAGATGTCTTAGATGCTTTGAGTTACACTTTATGTACTGGAAGGCTCAGGCTCTAGCTCCTGGACCCCACCTGTGCCAGCTGCTGGTAGATTATTTCAGTGAGTTCCATCTGATCTTTGGTTATAATTTAGAAACTGTGTACTGACTTGTACAAACTTTGTTTACAAACTTTGACTATTTACAAACTCTTAATGTTTACAAACTTTTACTATTTACAAACTTTTATTGTTAACAAGCTCTCACTGGAGAGCTGACTGTAGTGAAGAAGTTCTTGGTGTGTGTGTGTGTGTGTGTGTGTGTCTGCGTGTGTCTGCGTGTGTGTGTGTGTGTGTGTGTGTGTGTGTGTGTGTGTGTGTGTGTGTGTGTGTGTGTGTGTGTGTGTGTGTGTGTGTGTGTGTGTGTGTGTGTGTCCACTGCTCTCATCATCAAATTCATGTTCAAATATGTTTATTGAATCAAGAAAAAATTCATCTCAAAGGGATAGAGTAGCTTAGGCTATTTATACCCCCCCCCTCACTATCACCAGTCATATGTGTGAAACAGTCGCTTTGTCTAATGTCTCACCATCCTGTACTGCTCACTATATTGATGGTGTATATATCCTGTTCCCTCTGTCCACCAGTTTGGCAAAGTAAGTCCCGTCTGCCTTTGTAACTCAGTCCTCTCTGCCTTTGTAAGTCAGTCCTCTCTGGCATAAAATAATTAAACCTTGTCGCATATCTCTCTGGTCATTTCTAAATATTTTTTCTCACAGGTACGGGTCCCAGGCCAGTGCTGCATACTGAAAGGTAGGTCTTACGTATGTTGTATTAAAAAGTATAGGTACCATAAGTCTGCTAAGAATCCACTATCCGTAGCTGAGTGGATAGAGACGGTTCGACAGAGATTTTGAACCAAAGTGACGTTACAGGAGTATTTTAACAATCTATGATCATTGTATTTTGGCTAATGGAAATTAAGGTGATTTCTTCCTTGTCTCTCAAGATCTGTATCTATTGAGAGAAGCTCTACACATTCAGCAGTGGATGTGGTATATGACAACAGGCTGCTCCTACTGATATGAATTCTCTATCTTTGACTTAGGCCTATCTGATAAGACGCCAGGCGTTTCCAGTTGACATAGAGGTGTTGTAGGCCTTAGAGACATGCCGGTAACTGCTGTTTGTTTAATTTTATTGTTTACTGCTAAGGAGGAAGGAGGGGGGGGGTGGAGTGACAGGGTGAGAGAAGCCTAATGAGAGAAAATGCTATGCCAGTTTTAAATAAAATAATTTGGGGTTTAAAAACCCCTAATATTTAAATAATCCGGATTGGTGTGGTCCAGAGTGTATTAACTCAAAAGATTACACAGTCACCAGGTGGTATATGCTTGCTAATGGCAATAAATCTATTGTAAATGCTTTGCTCATTGCGCTCTTAGCGTATATATGTATTTGAGAGACAGAAAAATATGTGAGTTTAGTGTTTCAACTTCAAATGCGATATGTTTATGTAGCACTTGCCTCAGGACTCTATGATAGTGAGTTTTATGCGATCTTGCACAGTAACTGATCCATTCACTATCAAGTCAAGGGCTAACAGCGAAATATGCTCACTACACAGTAGTAATGAACTACACACTCACATAACAGGTGGGATGACTTATTATTAACATCTTTATTGACAAAATTAAATTACAATTTCGCCTAATCTGAGGATTTCAATTAAGTCTTATTAAAGTGGGGATAATGCTGCTAGTAGCCTTACTTTTAAGACTTGAAATCCTCAGACGTGCGCATTTTTTACCAAATCGCGCGCATAGATGAATATACTTTGAGGAGTACAAATGCTCCCCTTAATACAGGGGTCCAATACACTATGGCTATACACCCACCAGGTGATATACACGGTGTATACATGTGTATACATGATGTGTATACATGTATACATCCTGAGAGGTTGGCACCCGACACTTGGACCAGTAACATACCTATAAATAAGTTATCAGAAGAGAGCTTAAAGCTAATATGACTATAGCACCTCGAGGGGATATGAGGACAAGGATCTGGGATAGGAGGGATGAAAGGAATATAGTGCCCAACCACAATGTCTCACTTTACTCATAAAATCTATGAGTTTCGTTAGACCTTTTGAATCGCACACATACAAGGCACTACGGGCTCACCATAGCCCGTGCTACTTGGAACTTTTTGTCCCAAGTAGCGAATCTACTTCAAGAAGCACACGTCCAATAAGGGAATAACAGGCCACGCAGTAGGGTTCAGATCGATACATGTTTTTTTCCTGTTGGTGTTGGGAGGGGGTCGGAGCCCCCCCCCCCCCGGATTCAGCCGGGGATTGGCCACGCACCTGTTCCTCACAGCTGACGGCGGATATATTGTAACCTTTGTAACTTCTCTCTTACGGGCTCGCCATAGCCCGTGCTACATGGGCACTTCGTTCTGAGTAGCTAAATCGGTAAGGGGTCAGGATAAGGATTTGGGATGGGACGGGGGGAAAGGAATGGTGCCCCAATTACATGTGGACGGTCTCGAGGGATTGAACGCCGACCTGCAGGAAGCAAGTGAGCCTTCACAGCCCACCAACGCTGCTTTAGTCTAACAATGTTCCCTGTGTTTCCTGCAGCTTTATTGACATTAATTGCATTCTTGGCTGGCAAGGTCACCCCCCCTACCCCCCCCCCCAACCCCCCACCCGGCATATACAGTTGGTCTCCGGAGTGAGTCCTTGCCCGCAGGTAGAAAAGGGAGAAAGAGAGAGAGAGGTAGGTAGGTAGGTAATAAATGAGAGACTATGATACTCATTACGGGGCTCGCCATAGCCCGTGCTACATGGACACTTCGTTCTGAGTAGCTAAATCTAAAACAGCAGCAACAGATAGTCAGAGATACCGACATTTAGAGTTCAAGGGGGAGAAACAGACCATAGTTTAGGGCATAGCATGACCTAGCATGACCTAGCATGACTTAGCATGACCTAGCATGACTTAGCATGACCTAGGTAGCACAAGCCGCCCCCCCCCCCCCTTCTCCATATAAATTCTCCCGCCATTATTATATAACGATTTATCTGACGTGGGATAGTTATCTGCGTCCTGGGAAGGGTGGGATAGGAAAGATGTTACATGCATGTGTGTGTGTACTCGTCTAGTTGTGCTTGCGGGGGTTGAGCTCTGGCTCTTTGGTCCCGCCTCTAAACTGTCAATCAACTGGTGTACAGAGTCTGAAGCCTACTGGGCTTTGTACAGAGTCTGAAGCCTACTGGGCTTTGTACAGAGTCTGAAGCCTACTGGGCTTTGTACAGATTCTGAAGCCTACTGGGCTTTGTACAGAGTCTGAAGCCTACTGGGCTTTGTACAGATTCTGAAGCCTACTGGGCTTTGTACAGAGTCTGAAACCTACTAGGCTTTGTACAGAGTCTGAAACCTACTGGGCTTTGTACAGAGTCTGAAACCTACTGGGCTTTGTACAGTCTGAAACCTACTGGGCTTTGTACAGTCTGAAACCTACTGGGCTTTGTACAGAGTCTGAAACCTACTGGGCTTTGTACAGATTCTGAAGCCTACTGGGCTTTGTACAGAGTCTGAAGCCTACTGGGCTTTGTACAGATTCTGAAGCCTACTGGGCTTTGTACAGAGTCTGAAACCTACTGGGCTTTGTACAGAGTCTGAAACCTACTGGGCTTTGTACAGAGTCTGAAACCTACTGGGCTTTGTACAGTCTGAATCCTACTGGGCTTTGTACAGTCTGAAACCTACTGGGCTTTGTACAGAGTCTGAAACCTACTGGGCTTTGTACAGAGTCTGAAACCTACTGGGCTTTGTACAGAGTCTGAAGCCTACTGGGCTTTGTACAGAGTCTGAAGCCTACTGGGCTTTGTACAGAGTCTGAAACCTACTGGGCTTTGGACAGTGTCTGAAGCCTACTGGGCTTTGTACAGAGTCTGAAACCTACTGGGCTTTGGACAGAGTCTGAAGCCTACTGGGCTTTGGACAGATTCTGAAGCCTACTGGGCTTTGTACAGAGTCTGAAACCTACTGGGCTTTGTACAGAGTCTGAAACCTACTGGGCTTTGGACAGTGTCTGAAGCCTACTGGGCTTTGGACAGTGTCTGAAGCCTACTGGGCTTTGTACAGAGTCTGAAACCTACTGGGCTTTGTACAGAGTCTGAAGCCTACTGGGCTTTGTACAGAGTCTGAAGCCTACTGGGCTTTGTACAGAGTCTGAAGCCTACTGGGCTTTGTACAGAGTCTGAAGCCTACTGGGCTTTGTACAGAGTCTGAAGCCTACTGGGCTTTGTACAGAGTCTGAAGCCTACTGGGCTTTGTACAGAGTCTGAAGCCTACTGGGCTTTGTACAGAGTCTGAAACCTACTGGGCTTTGTACAGAGTCTGAAACCTACTGGGCTTTGTACAGAGTCTGAAACCTACTGGGCTTTGTACAGAGTCTGAAACCTACTGGGCTTTGTACAGAGTCTGAAACCTACTGGGCTTTTATCATTTATATTTTTTATTCATTTTTTTATATATAAAAGAGTTCTTACATTCTTAAACGGCCATTAGCATGCATAGCATTTCGGGCAAGTCCGTAATCTTAATTTTTCCCCCGGAAAACGACCCGCTAAATCGTTTAAGGAACTATAAGAAAGGAAAAGTGAAGGTTTGTTCAATTTTAATTAAACTTTATTGACTAGTTGTACAGGAAAAGGGCTCCAACTGGTCCAAGTTTCAGCATCGTAGCCTATTTAGAAAGCCTATTTTCCTTTTTTTCCCTATTTTAGAATAGCCTATTTTCACCCTATTTAGAAAGGGTGAAAAAAAATACATATTTTTCAACGAATTTTCACCATTTCTAATTATTACACTAACAATAAATTAAAATTTAATAATAATTAAAAAAAGGTCCCCAATTGGTGCAAGTTTTAACATCGCAGCCTAAATAGAAACGGAGAAAAAAATTAAAAGCCTATTAAAAAAAATTCAATATGTTCAAAAATTTCTATCAAACAAAAGTGTCAACTGAAATCATTTCTATGACAGCTATCACAACAGCTTATAATAAAGGATTAAATATAGAAATTTGGTCCAATATATGTTTAGTTTTAATATTGTTTATTAGTCAAAGTCCCCACAAACATTATACAACATTATGTACATAAAAATCAATAAATAGACTTAGGACAAAAATACTACATATTGTAGAGGCAGAAACTCTACATATAAGATGTTAGTTTCATGTAAATTGATTAATAAATGAGTCGAGTCAGCTAGTAGTTGTAAATTATGTACAACATGAAGTCAAAACACATATTAATTATGTGCAACATGAAGTCAAAGATTAGCCACACCTGTGGCTAAGGTTGACATCGATCGATTTCCTCCAAAATTGGCACCTATTATATGTATAGGTTAAGTAATAATTGTAATTACGAAGCAATAAGATGCTTATGTTAACATACTAAGAAGGTTAGGTAAGGTCGGTGTTTTCTATGAAGCTTTTCAAGGTAAACTAAAATATTCACAATAAATTAGTATGTTGCATATGCACTTATTTAATAAGTCAACATTGACAGTAAGAAAGTGCGAGAACGGGTTGCACTTGGGGGTGAAGTGTGTCCACACCAAGTCCCACTCAACCACCCATACCCGAGTGCTTGGAGGCTTATCGTCTTAAGGAGTCCTTGAAGGCGTGGTTCTCTCCTAAACCCGGTCGTTGTGAAAGGCGTTCCTCAGGCAGGGAGTTCATCGCGTGAAATTGGAATTCCAAGCGTAAAATACGGCGATGATCTT